CGCCTCCTTCTCCTTTACCAGACCATCCTGAGAACTTGTCAGCGAGGCATGCGGCTTCTTCTTCTTCTTCTTCTTCTTCTTCTTCTTCTCCTTCTTCTTCTTCTTCTTCTCTCTGAATTAACCTCGAATTAACCACTTAATCCACCACAAAAACCACCACGATATTCGAACTCGGCCTCTTTCCTCCCTCCTCCTCCTCCCCCCTATCGTATCGTCTAGACAAGATGATCGAAACGCGAGGATTGAACGATCGAAGAAGCAATTTCGAATAACTCGCGACTTCGATATATTATTCTCTTCTTCGATGATCTTTCGAAATCAATTCGAACGGTGATCACGATCACGTGGAACGGCGAGCGATCGATCGTTTCTTCTTCTTCGACTTCTTCTACAATTGTCCTCGAACGACGATCGTCGACGATCGCTGAACCCAATCCGCGAGGAGTGCAGCGGCGGACCACCGTTTCTCTCGATCGGCCAATTCGTTCGAATGGGACACGAGCGGTTCCCAGGCGAAAGACTAGTCGACGCGCGAAGCCCGCTCGGTCGTCTCGATGCGTCGTGCTTGTCTCGTGCTCGTTAAAAAAGGTGACGATTGCACGGTCCTAACCGTAGCACAGGGCTCGGGCAACTGACAGCGGGTCAGAGCCGCGGCACACGGCGCCACGCCGCTCTCACAGCTGATCCGAGAGAGCCGATCGCCTCTACTCGCCTCTCTACCCTCTCTCTAACACGCGATTCTCAACCTCCGCCACCGTGTGCTCCCTCGCACGATTTACCTCGGCTAACCGGAACGTCGTGAGACCGGGCTGACGAATCGCCTCCCTCCCTTCCTCATCCTCCTCCTCCTCCTCCTCCTCCTGCACCTACCGTGTGTCGTCGTTGCATCGCGCGGACGTGAAACCTTGGCGGATGTCGCGAGACGTTGGGGAATTTCGGGATGACGCGTGAGTGACCACGTTCCTTCCGAGTTTGCTGCTTTCTTCTCGCAACACTTTTATCCGCGTTTGAGACGATGCGGGAAGTGTCTCGAGTTTGGAATTTTTTTGAGAAGGGGGATGAAAAGAGAAGGTTTTGATTGGAGTTTTTGAAGATGGGTATTGATGAGGGGAGTGTCGAGTGTTTGTGAAACTGTGGAAAGTGTCTCTTTTTGATGTTGAGGATGGAAGTTGGAAAAAGATATATGAAAAGGTTGGAATGGTTTTGGTTGGAATTTTTGAGGATGGTGTTATTGCTGAAGATAACGTTGAGTGATGAAGCTGTGAGGAGGCTGTGGTATTGAGGATAGTTGAGTGATGAAAGTGTGGAAGAAAGATACGTGAAAGATTGAGGAGAAAGGTATTGTTGATGCTGAATGGTAAAGATTTTAAGTTGCAATTCTTGGGGATGAAGGTTATTGTTATTGAAGATAATATAATATAAGTGATGAAAGAAGTGTGGAGAATATTTTGTTTAAAATTTTTAAGGAACGTACGATATATCCCTAATTTTATAAGAAATTCAAATTTAATTATGGTAAATAAATTTTGAAAAGTGACACTGTATCGCCCTCTGGGATTTATTAAAATTTTATCCCAACCATATACGTTTTTCATATACGTGATTTAAAATTCATAAATGAATTTGCAAGGAATGGGACCAATTTCGGATGAAGATAATCGAAATTATAGTACGCAAGGCAAGAAATTATATCAAAATCAAGGACAAACGAATCGAAGAGCAATTCGAAACTTTTCTTCTAGGATTACTGTACCTTTCGGTCACTCCCTTGCCAGCAAATCAAGCATAGTAACGACCTGATCGCCATCGCGATTCTTTTCTTTTTCTTTTTCCTCTCTTTTCAAGGCACTAGTTCACCTCGTTTATCCGCTAAAGCTATGACCGTGATATTCACGTCCGATTAAGTTTTTGTTGCCGCACAATGGTGCAAGAGAAAGTATTGTGAAACATATGTTACACATTATGTCGAATCGTTAAGGCTGTAACGCGATTAAATGACGTTTATTTATCTCCCTATAACAAAGAACGTAAAAAAAAAAAAAGAAAAAGAAAAAAACACCGAAACAAAAAAATGTGACATTGATGAATTATCGCATCCATTTTCTTTTTCTTCCCTCTTCAACCCTTAAACAATTGGCATTGATCCGTAATATTAGCCGACACAAAGTTGTATCTCAACCTCGCATTTGCAATAAAATCCATCTCGTTGATGTAATTCAATCCTGTGACGCTGCTCGGTCAGAAAAATTCTCATATAATTTACAATGCTATATATTTTAATTCAATATGACAATATCGAATACGTATTTCAATCTCAAAATACTTGGAATGTATCCTTCGAATTATTTTTAATCGCGTTCCCATTTAATATCATCGAAGTTAAATATCGAAAACGGTATATCTGTCCTCTCGAGACAACTTTCAATTATTTTCTCTCTCTTTTTTTACTTTTATTCCTCCATAGAAATGAACAGCTAACTAAAAAAAAAAAAAAACAATCTCGAATTTATCTCACACTTTTATGCCACACAAACTTTCGAACTTTTTTAAAATTTTTAAGAAAAAAACGATCGTTGACGAAACGTGACGTTGCGTTAAATCGATTCACTCGACACTGAACTTATTGCAAAACGATCGAAGATTAAGAACTTTTCACTTACTTTTCTGAGGAGCCGTGATCCTCCTCGTTGTGGAGGATCCTCCAACACCGGATTAATTAAACACAGGAATTATTCACAGAAGAGGAAAAATCGGTCTAGATTCTCACGTTCCATCCACTTTGCGAGCATGTCACGTCCGTATCTTCGAGTGTACGTTAATTAGGCGGATGTCGATCGTTATCAAGAGTTTCAAGGTCATCCGTGATCCATCGCCGAACGAAAGTACACTCTCGCGCTCCAACGTCTCTCGATACACCGCCCACGTGCCCTTAACGCCTCTCTTTTTTGCACAAATCCTTGCCCTCGAAACGATCGGATTTTTCAAGAAATTCCCCGTTCGTCGTTTTGCCACTCGTATAATACGTCTTTATCACCGTTGATCGGAATCGTTTAATTACGAGTATATTATATACTCGTGGTAAATGCCGCTTCTGGTTGATATATAGCGAATTTTAACGAGTCTGTCCCGAGGGTAATCTCTTGACGTGCAAGAGGAAAAGAATCAATCGATAAATTGTTTGATCATGGGAATACGGGACAGATGAAATACGTTTACATATTCGTGGAATTTTGTGATAAAACATGGCCATGTTAAGAATTAAATGTAATTACGTTTAAAAAAAAAGAAGAAAAAAATGTTAATAAAGTCATGATGCCGTTATTACGCGCACACTTTTTCCTTTTTATTTTATTTTTATTACACGAAGCGTGTAGATGCTTTAACATACGTAACGAGTTTGTTAAGGAAGATTTGCTTTTTTTCCCTTCTTCTTTTGATTTGTTTTTAATTGATAATATCTTTTGGAATAAATTTTACCTCGTGATAAGTGAACGAACTTACTTTCAATTTTTCATGCGCGAATTACTTCGAAGAAGTAGATACGACGTATTCAGAAATTTTAGTGTAATAGTACCTTTTTTTTAAATAAGAAAAATCAAAGCCAATTTTCTCTCTAAAAAGAAAAAAAAAAATTAACGCTCGAAGAGAATTTTCAAATTTTAACATGCAAAGTGTCGCTCGAAGGTTGCCGGGAGAATTCGTTTCGATACAAAAGCGGACACTTTTCTCCTTTTACTGCGGGCATAAATTTAATACCGTTTAAAAAAAGAATAGCGCCTCAAAGTGAACTTAAAGCCGGTGGAACATCACCGGTGTGGGATAAAGTCGAACGACGTATCACGAGATGTATCGCTTCGAACTATATCACTGTCCGTCTCAAATTCAGTTTCTTGAAATCAATAAAATCAATCTTTATGAAAGTTGGCGCAAGTTGGCGGGGGATGCCATCCCGCGTGATGCAACAAAAGAGGAACGTAAAAAAAATTTTGCGACGAAGAAAAGAAATCGTCGTAAAATTTTGCCGAAACTGGTTTTCGCGTCGTAAAGCTACGCTGAAAATTCGAAGAAAAAAGTCGAAGAAAAAGTCGGAGAAAATTGCCAACTATCTTGTAGGACACCGTGATTGGATTATTATAAAAAGATCGAGATATAAATATAGGGAATTAAGTTCATCTCTATTTCTTTATAGCTCAAGATACATCTTGTACACGAACTTATACACCGAAATAACATAAAATTTTACTACCTTTTATATCTATTTTACAGATAAATAAAGTCTTATTTATACTCTCTCCACTTCGTCACCCGTTCCTTCGAAACGAGGGATGCAACGCATCCCTGTAAACATATCTACTCAAATTTTCGTAATAAATTTCATTCATGCTCAAAGACAAGATCGATCGGGGAAGATACAAAAATCCTCGCCATCTTTTACTTTCTATCCAACTTAGAAAAGTCAAAAGACGAATTCCCTCTTCCGTGTTTCACGATCATCGTGCTTCATAACGTCAGAATACACAACATATTTCTGCTATTTTCTGCGGCCACGTTACGATATACCGTTTGCTATTGGGGGGAGGAAGGAGGGGGAGGGGGATAAAAAAGCGTTTTAACGAAATCCTTGTGCAACAAACGGTCGGATGAATAACCGACCTTGCGCACAACCGGGACGACCTTCGCGAAGTGAAGAGAGCGCAGGATCTCTCGCCGTCCCTCCACGAATTCGTTCCTCGACCACGCATCGAAATCACCAACGTGCCCGCACGCACGCTCCACGCCGACTTTAACGACACGCCCGCCTCGAATTTATGTTCCAAGATATCTGGCGGCTACCGTGCCCGATCCGGGGCCACAAATTAAACTCGTAGATCCCATTAGGCTAGCTCCCCCCATTAGATCGATAATGATGTTGGGACGCACGTTGGGATCAGAGGGTAACGGTATCGAGCGATTCTCCAATCGTTGAACTTTTCAGCCGGCTACTGATGAACAGACCGTTTTGTCATTTTTTAACAGATAGGGGGATAAACGTGTATTATGTATATTGGATGTTTGTGAATGCGGAAGTTTCGGATTTCGAACGGTTCGGATGAAGTTGAACGGTAATTTGAAGAATGGCGGAGTGGCGTGTTGGAGATTATTTACGCGCGGATAAACGAAAGAACCGTTGGCGCGTGAGGTAATTTCGATTGAATCTTTTTAATTGTAAATTTGACGCGGGACGATGGAAAAGTGATGAGGAGGAGAAGGGGTGTAATTTTAAATTAAATTTTTAACGTATCGTTTTCTTTAAATTCGCAGGCAAATCGCTTTATTAAGGGAAAGGTATTCGAGGAAGAGGAGAGTATATTTCTCT